TCATCAGAAGAGTTATATCCAGCCATGATGTGAAGCCAAGCATCTGTAAACCGGAATCACAATGACCTGTTACATAAACTGTCTGTGAACAAAATACAGGAAATTTCACCTTACATGCTATAGATCAGATCTTCCTCCATGTTCACACAAAACAAAGCACATCACTAGCACTGAAGTTCATCGACCAACTAAATTGAGTTCTGATCAAGTAGTCATAGGTTGCTTTTGCACACCGACTTCCACATTTTTAATCTGGGCTATTCAGAGACCTGGTACAAAGCATATGGTACCAGATATGGGACAGTATGATACTCTCAAATGAGTAGCAGTGCAGAAAACAGACCTAAGCAAGGGGACAGAGATAGGAGAACATAATAGACAGCAAAATGAGAGGGGACTGGCTCACCAACATGAAGGAGAAGTTCACAGTTTGTCATTTTCTACCAAAACACCAGTTCACTGCCAGTGACAGAAACTAGTCCTGTCCTGCAAGAAGCTGCTGACTACTAAGTTCTCAATTTTTTTTGGTGGCAAATCTGATAATCTTTTTCCAAACTAAAATACTACTCTAGAATTGTTACTGCTAGTAAGTTTACTTGTTGACTGTGGCTTTGTTTATTTTTTCTTACAATAGGAGCTGTACCCATTCAAGAACTACAGAGTAAAGTAAAAATGCTTGGTAAGTTAATTTTACATTCATGGGCACATGCTGTGTTAGTAACAGTTCACAGGTCTGATTATGCTAATAAAGAAATTAAAACACAAAAGAAATAAAGGTTGACGCACAAATCTATCACACGTTGGCAACCCATATGAACTGTTTAACTAATTAATTATGCAAATCTATGTTCCTCCAAAGTTTTAGAACATTAATTAGAATTTTTAGTACTCCTTTGTAAATGCAAGATATTCCATAACAGAAGCAATGAAAATATGCTGTCTTTTTCATTTTGCTCTGTCCTTTAAAACTGTTGCCCACATTCTGCTTCTTGCCCCCTTTTCAGAGATGTCTGCTGACAGACTATTTCAACAAGAAACACCTCATCCCCAAAGTCAAACCTGCAAATCAATCCTCTCCCACCCTCCTCCCATTTCAAACACCCTTCATACAGAATCACAGAATATTCTGAGTTGGAAGGGACCCTCAAGAGTCCAACTCTTAAGTGAATGGCCCAACAGAGATCTAACTCACAATCTTGGTGTTATTAGCACCATGCTGTAATCCCATGAGCTAATCTCAGGGTCAAACCCTCCCAGAAAAAAAAAACACTTTCCACAAGGCTCACTTTCCCAGAAACCAGGATCACAAAACCAGAGCTGCACACAAGGCCACTGCAGAGATACCTGACACAAAGATATGTTCGTACCTCCAATATAAGGGTTCATTTTTGTGGTAAGTGACACTTTCTGAAACTGCTAAGTCTTTAACTGACAGAGTTTAGAATACAAAGTTTACATGAATGAGGTATTGGGATTGCAACCCCAAATCCATCACAAAGTATAAATATTTTGCATGCTTTACTATGCAAAAGCATGTTCATCATTCAGTTGTTAAATTAAATTAAACAAATTCAATTTGTTAAAAAGCCACAGTACTTGGACCTAAGTTATTCAGTGGAAGTTTCTAGTGAAGACCTGATTGCTATATCAGTGGGGAAGAGTAAAAACATTCTTAAATTTTAAGTGTCCAACAGCACATGTCATAGCTAGCTCCCTTATCAATAGCTTTCTAAGGTAAACTAAGTTTTAGTCTAATTATTTGCCTCATGGCCATATTTCTCCATCCCATTGTTTCATCACTTTTAAGTATAAATTATATGAATGAAGAAATTTTGCAACTCTGTGTACATATATTTAAAATCTACATTTCCTTCTATCACAGATGACTTTCTATATTCATGTAGTCTTTTATATTAAATCTGTCCATTAAATCTGACCAAATATTGCACTTCCAAATTTTATAATATTTGCTTACCTCCCTCTTAATACCAAGCCTCTAGTCTGCATTATATTGATATTTAAAAAGGTGCAGCTGTCCTTTTACTTTTATAACATCTAAATGTCATAATTTATGGTGAATATTATGCATGAATTATCTGAAGTTTTTGGGTTTGATCATAAAAGCCAAAGGAGTGAATACGAATAAAATAAGGGCATGCCAAGTAATTCTGCAGACAAACCAGCACACTGCTCAGTACCTAGCTGTTCACTAAAACATTTTCATAATACGTTATCAAAAGTTCCTTAAGTGCATTTCTCTATTTATATTTGCATTAGTTAAAAAAACCTCTGTCTTTTACATAGCTTTCAAGTTCCTAATTTTTCTTTTTTACTCTATTTCTAACAGAAACTGACTTTTCATGACAACTTCCTCGATGTTTACAAAAAAGGAAGAGTTTGATTAGTAGAAGACTTTAGAGAAAAAGATTATTTAATCACTACTTTTAAAATACTAGTGTTATTGAAATATCCCATTTTCACTTTTGACTACCTACAAATGATGTTCAGGTTCCTAACAGAAAACTCTCCTTATAATATCAAGTTAGGAAATAAGAATAACATACACAATATCCCTTAAATAGTATATAACTGATTTCACAAAACAAAATAATAGCCATTTGTCAGCTATTTCACATATGAAGCTTCATGAAAAAAAATACAATAAGAAAAAGTGATATAGATTTATCACTAATTACTATACTGCCTCAACACTGCAGCAAACTTTGCTTGCAATGATCCTACAAGTTTTGACAACATCAGACCACACTTAGATTGAAGCCAGATTAGCCCAAAAATTATTTTACGCTGCTTTACTTCTCTCATCAGTCTAGGAAAATGCAATGAAAGGGTGAATGAATAACAACAGTAACCTAGACACCTGCTACTTTTAAAAAAGATTATGCTATGAACTGGGAGGAAACAGGGATAGATATCAGTCAGCATTTTTTTCAACATAAAATAATCCAACTCTATTACAGTGGTCACCTCATGAAAAAGAAAAAAAGAGTGTAAGAAAACACAATATAATCTCAGTTAAGTATAGTTTAGAGGATCACAAATACAAGAATTAAACACTGCACATGCGTCAAAATTATTCACCTGACCTGAAATTCAATATTACTGAATTCCAAGTAGAGACTCCAGCACATTTTTTGTATGCTTTCTCTTAAAACATACAGTACACCAAACATGCTCAAGTTCAAAACTGGCAACCATTCATAAACACATTTCTGATTTTTATTTCAATAACATCAATAAAAAGAAGGAAATCCTCCTACTAGAGCAGCAGCTCTAGGCCCAGTTCCATACAAGTCTTTCAGTTTTTCAAACTTATGTTAAACATTTCCATGCTATATGAACCACTTCTTCCAGCTGAAAAGCATTTCAGTGAAAAGTTAGGTAGCTTTATATAACTGGAAATGAAGAAGATTATAGAAATTTTTATAGTGTTATACAAATTAATATTACTTTCAGCAAGCAGCAGAATTTAAGTAAGGGCAGTTAACCTAAAAATAGCAACAGAACTTACAAATACTCCCTGTTTACTGGTATTAGTTCTTTCTCTAATAACCAGGAAGTAGATAAGCTTTACAAAACATTAACATATTTAAAAGGGCATCAACAATAGTCATTATAATCTTCATTTAAAAAAAAATGCTACAGTATTACCATATTGAGCAAGCATAGCCTCAATAGCTACCATCTCAATAAAAAAAAGTATTTTTTACTTGTCAGGTACCTCACAAAACCAACTTACAGACCTCCCTGTAAGTTGTTTACTACTAGGAAATTGTTAGCCTGCAGAAAAATGGTCATGCTGTTTTGCAGTTCTTGTTTCGGAAACTTTCATCCAAGGTCTAGATTTCATCAACATAGAATAGTCGGAACTGTACTCACTTTACAATTTCTCTTAAATTCCATTACAGACTGAGAGGCAGTTCATCAAAGGACATTGCAAGTAAATCAGCAGATATGAGAGGGCAAGATAGATGTGTGCAGCATTAATCTTTCTAAACCCTGAAATATCAAGTTAAAAATCTTACAAAAATGATTCTGCTGCTGCAGTGCTCTACTATTATTCCTCTCACTCATCCAGGGGCTTCTCACAACAGTAGGTCAGAAATTTGCTCCTCTAAGGTCCTAGCTAAGACAAAGGTTTTAGGTAAAATATTATAAAGGGTACAATTCTCTCTTTTGCTGTCTATCAATTTACTCAGAACAAAGCTCACATACACACCAGCAACTGATGTTTCAACAGAAACAGAAAACCCACCCCTCAAACACCAAAGAAAAGTCAAAGGTCTTCGTGCTTAAACTTCTACGAAACGTCCTGGAATTCGAAAGAAAAACTATTTCCCAGTTCCATATCCTTATCACAGATGAATTTTACCTAAGGAATTGTTAAAATTCATTTAAGAAACTGGAGGCATTCACTTTTTGTGTTGCATTCAAGAAACAATAATGGCAGAAGCCATTAAGTGATTGCAGTTTTCTTAATATCAGTATATGTAAATGATGTAAACTTAGATCAACTATTCTAAAGCACTTTTTTCACATTCCATTAAAAAGAGTCACATTTCTCTGTATGGTTATTTTGTATTAGTATTTTTGAAGCTGCCTGGCTCAAAAAAATTCCAGGAACAAAATCTAATGATTTGGTTGCATCCCAAATGGTCAAACATAATACATTTTCAGAATAAAAGGGAAGCATAAGGAAAAGATGTGGAAACATTAAAATTTGCAGTATTTCAGAAATAATATATTCAAAATACTATATTAATGAGAGCTAATGAACAGCTCACAGACTCTTCCCTTTGACATGGAATTCAGTATTCATGTCAAGTAAAACAAAAGCTACTTATAAATGTTTATTCCCACTATCAATCAATCAGCACTTCAAGGCAAGGTCTGGTGTCCTTTCTTTTTGCTTCCCTTTAGTTTCTGTATAGATCACACAGCATTATAAATTTCAAGTTAAAACAAAACCAGTCGGGCCTTACCTCTGTCGCTGAAGTCATCCACAAGAATGATTTCTGCTATCAGGCTGTCTGGAGTGCGGTTGATAATACTGTGTATTGTTCTCAAGAGTGAAGTCCAGCCTTCATTATGAAATGGGATAATTATGCTAGTATTTGGTAGTGTTTCCAAGTACACCTTGTGCTTACAGCTGGAGAGGTAAGAAAACAATTGTATAAGCATAACAAAAATCTGAGTTGGCATACAGTGCCATCCATTTGGGCCATTCAACCATCATGGTTTCTGGCATAAAAATTCAACAGTACAATCAAGCAGTACTTTCACGTGACAATAACTAGTTAATTTAAAACATTTATATTTCTTACAATATAGAATAAATTGGAACAATGACAAAACTTAAGCAGAATGAGTGAAGTATTTAACTGGCTGGAATTCTTTTCCTTCACTGGAAACTTTTTCCTGCAAAATGACAGAGGACGTATCTTCTACAACATCATTTCCAGAAAAAACCCCACCCTCTTATCAGAAAGAATTCCAAAACATAATATGAAGTAAAAGAAAATCTGAAGTGATTCTTTTTTTGTCCATAGCAAAGATTTTAAAACAGTCTATTATAGCAGGAGATAAAACTTGAGAAAACAATTCAGTATTATCCTGGATGATACGTGCTTACAATATGAAAAACAACAATATCCACAAATACAACTCCAACTTGACATCTCGATATCCAAAATGACTGCTGGTATTAAATATAGAGATAAAACACAATTCTGAAAACACAGACTCATAAAAAAGAAAATGTAAACAACCTTTCATTTTTCAAAGGAAAGCACTGTACATTCAACATCTTAATTGCAATTTGGTTTCTCCTAATATCCAAAAATATTTTATGACTAAACTTTAGGTTACTGCAACTTATAGGACCTCATCTTTCATGTTTTATTGAAAAAGGGAAAAAAAGGGACACATTCCTCTGTTATTAACAAAGCCTGGCATTTTCACCTACTGGGGACAAAGTAACTGAATGATTTCTCACCCAAAAAAGTAAGTCACACCCTGATAAAGGTATCCCTACAATAAACAACCAAAATAATATTACCAAAAAAAAAGGAAAAAAGTTTAGACCTGCAACTTCTAGGTTTAAAAAAAGTAGAGATATCTTTGCTCCTTGTCAGAAAGAATAACTATGCATAAACACTGCTGTAGGTTACAATTTTGATTTACATATATTTGCAGCTTAGTTTGCACTTCCTCTTTTTAAATGTCACTTAGAAATCAATGTTTACCAATTTATTGTACAGGTACCACACTAATGAAATGTTCCAAAGATATAATAAAAACTCATAGCTACTACAGTTTTATTTGGAAAATATTAACTGTTATGTACCTATGAATAAACTATCTAGTTCTTAGATACTTTCCAAAAAAATAAGATTTAAATTTCTAATTCAGACTTTTCTTCCTAAAACATGGTGACAATTTAATGACAAGTCATTTTCAGAAATAACAACTTCTGATACTTTTTAATAAGCAGCTTGTAGGTAGAACATATATGCACACTGGAAAAAGGACAGCTGCCTTGCAAAAATTCTGGAGAAAACAGTGCTCATTACCTAGTGACAGAAAAGTCTAGGTATATATTCAAACATTTTCTGAGAAAAAGAAAATCCACTGCAGCAATAGAATTTAGAAAAAATTCTTTTTCTTATCAGTAGGAACAATTACAATAAATGAAGCCAATTATTAATATGTAGCTCTTTCAGTTAGCAAATTAAGAGAACCAACTACAAAAAACAACACCTACTGTTGCTAGCTGTTTGCCAACAGTGATGCTTCTTGAACTAGAACAAATGCACCTACCAAGCATACATGTAACTCTCACACTATTCTTGAAAGTTTTTTCTTCAGCATTTCAAATTCCAGTAAATATGATTTTAAAACTAGTAAGTTTTCATCTCCGTAAAACCCTAAGCCAAGAAACCCAAAACACCACACAAAACCAAGCTGATCCTCTTCAGTTCATCTCACAGAATCCCTTACCAATACTTTCTTTCTTGGAGACTCCATCTTATTGCTGACTTCCACAGTGACACATTTGATCTTTGGTATTGTTTCTACTTACTCTGTAATTGCAGGAGTGTTTCTTATCAGACATACATGCTGTACTGATATGCCTATTCTCTTTCCTCCTAGTAATCTGAAGATATAACTAATAAACAAGTTACTCCTAGGGATATCTCCTCCACCCCTAAATACACACACACACACACAAAATAACTGTTTGCACTCAGTCAGAGGAGACCACATAGAAGAAGTGGAAAAAACTAGCTTACCATTACTCCATTTGGCAAGTTAGCTATTAAACCCAAATAAATTACTTCTGTAGTCTAATCCTACTGCATGTTGGTTATAAAGGCTAATTGAGAAGTCGATGTCCTCTAGGTGTTCTCTAGGTGACTTTTTTCCTTTAAATTTAAACAAACTGTGTAGTTTAAATTTTTGTATTTTTAGTCATGCACTCACTCTAGACATTAAAAATGCAGAACTTTTCAGATAGAGTTTAGTCAAATAACTACTAGTCTTCTGGTTGTACTTTTCAAAACAAATAAATGGTTGCCACCAAAAGAGATGATTTTAAGCCTTTGGAAAGCAGAGTCATTTACTTCTAGAGTGCAATATCCAAATGCCTGAATCAATAAGTTAGGAGGGGATAAGGGGATGAAGAAACAACAGTATATATCTAGGTCTCATGGAATACTATTCAAGGGGGTGAAGAACATGACAACTGAAATTAGAAAAGGACTCCTACTCAGCAGAAACCTTTTTTTTTTCATAACCTTAATAGAATACTACAGATTGGCCTTAATAATGTATAACAGGTGGTTTCCTGAAGATATGTCTTTTCCTGCATTTAAACAATATATTTTAGTGCAGCACACCAGCACTTATTCATGGAACAATGCTGAATAATGGGTTCAGTAGCAAAGTTATAAAAATGATAATTTCTTAGCACAAATAATAAATTACTTCAATTTAAGTCTTAAATATCAGAATAATTTTTGTGTTAGGTCTGAAATGTCTTGGTAGATACACCCAGGAAGAAAATAACCATGATAAGCAACTGTCATCCTACTAGGTAAGTAACTCACACCTCTATTTTCATACTGAAGTTATTACATTACCATTCAGAACAATGGAAGTTCAGAAGAGGAGAACATGCAAGGGGCATTATGCATTGCCTCTGCACAAATACTCAGAATTAGGAAATAACACTAGCAATGTGGACTTAGCAAAAAAAAAAACAAACAAACAACTATAAATGCCAACACTTGTGTATCTATGAAAAATTGGCACCAAATGATGAATTTGCCGATGAATCAGATACATCTTCATGAAGAGACATCTTCAAGATTATAATGAATCAGAAGTTATGAACCTTGAATTATGCTCTCAAATATTGCTATCCTTGATTAATTTTGTCTGTATTTCCATGATATTTCAAAACTTAGTATCTGGTATTTCTTGGCAAAGAATAACACCACATCATTAAGTTTCTCCCTCAGAGTCTTTCAGATGAGATTTTTAAAAATAAGGGACCTATCTATCAGTCTGTGAGCTGTTTCCACATTAGTTTTCAAAGCAGTAAATACAACTTCACTGTCTCTGTCCAAAGAATCTCCTTCCTCTCTCCCTTCTATTATCAGATACTGTAGGGATAGGTGCAATTGCGCAAGAATTTGTAACAGAAAGCTAAAACTTGCTTCGCTCAGGAAGACTGCAAAATGACTTCTCAAATGGGTTAGGTGTTTTTTTTTCTTCCTTCTGCATTTCAGAGAAAGTCACAGGGATAAGCTGTGAGCAAGCTATTTCCTTGGTACGCAGAGAGATAACACGGTTGCAGATGTACAAGGCTGTCGGGGGCCAGAGAAGGTGGGGGAGGAGAGAGAGAAGATACAAAAGGCCTTGGAGAAGGTGGGGCATTGCCTTTTGCCCTGGTGCCCGGTGGTCCTTAAGAAGTGGTCCTTGCATCTGAAATAAACATTTTTTTAATGCTTCCACTGCCTTGGCATTCTTGGGAAGAATACCTGCCTATGTATTACCTTACAGATACTAAGCACTAATAAAATGAACGAGTCAAGTATGTCATTTATTACTGTTTTGAAAAACTGAACTTGGAAAGCTGCACAATACTGTTTATTATGCACACCTGCCACAGAGTCACCAGGAAATGTCTTCCTAGGAAACCAAAGTTTTTTTACAAAAAGGTAAGGTAGAATTTATTTGTAAGTAAATTCTTCAGTAAAAACCAATAAATATATATTACTGACAAAGTGAAACTTTCTACTAGCTTTGGATTTGGCATGCTGCTCCCATTGGAGCTGGACACTTGGCTCCAGAGTTCAAGGCTTATTGATAGAAGTGATACACTGTCATACTCTTTAACTTGCTTTAAAACACTTAATATTTACTTAATTATTCTTTTGAGATACAGAATTTTTCAACTGAATTGAAACGAATCAAAACTGAGCATCTGAGTTTCTGAACAAAACAATTTTAGAGTTGGCTTCAAAGTTGTAGGGAGACTTTTAGAAGGTTAAGAGAATAGCAAGAGGTTCCCATATTCCTGAAATATTAACCTGCCTAAGGAAGAAAAAAAAATTTTCACAAAAACATCGTGAAGCTATCTGCAGCAAGCACTAATAAAATACAGCTTGAAGAAGACTGCTAATAAAAAGAGAAGTAGTGAAAAGGATTACAATTACACTTCTTTCTTATTCACTACTAAGAGTCCTAAGACTATTGTGATTTAATTTTGTAGGTTAGCCTACCCTACTGCACAGAAATAACAAAACAGCGTCCTTTGACTTCAAGGAATAGGGATAGTTCTGTTTAATTCCCTGATGAGCTTACACGTGTGAAAAAAAAATATCCTAAAACATCATACCAGCTTAAGAAAAGATGCAGAACTTCCAAATTCTCCACCTTTACAGCTTCTTTGTTAAGAGAAACATGCAGAACTCTGTAGAAGACAAAATTAAAGAAAACAGGTTTCTAAAATGATGAGAAAGGAGAGCAGGGCTAGCACCACTTCAGGCACTTGACAGTAAAAGCCAATTCATAAAAGAAGAATTGGCTTGACCCTGTGGATATATAAACAATATTTTGTGCACATTGAGGGATACCAGTAGA